CTCTAAAGAAAATATATGAATGACTAATAAACATGTGAAAAATGCTCTGTATCACTAATTAGGGCAATGCAAATCAAAGCCACAATGAGGTACCACTTCACATCCATTATTATGGCTATTATTTAATAAAATAAAAAACAAGTGTTCATGTGCATATGAAAAAACCAAAACCCTTGTGCATTTCTGGTGGGAACATAAAATGGTGCAGCCAGTATGGAAAAGAGCATTGTGGTTACTCAAAAAAATTAAACCTAGAAATAGCATTTGATCCAGCAATTCCATTTCTGGGTATATACACACAAAAGCAATAAAAACAGAAACTCTAACAGGTATTTGTACACCAACATTCATGGCAGTGTTAGTCACAATAACTAGTAGTTGGGAACAAGTTAAATGTCCACCGATAGAAGAAAGGATAAACAAAATGTGACATACACATACAATGGAATATTATTTAGCCTTAAAAAGGCACAGAATTCTGACACATGCTACAACATGGATGAACACAGGAAACATTATGCTAAATGCAAAAAGTCAGACACAAAAAGACAAATACTGCCTGATTCCATTTAATCCAAAGTTCCTTGAATAATCAAACACATAAAGACAAAATAAAATAGTGGTTACTAAGGGCTAGAAAGAGGGGGAATTATTGTTTAATGGGTTCAGAGTTTCTGTATGGGTTGATGAAAAAGTTCTAGAGATGTATAGTGGTGATGGCTGCACAAAAATGTGAATGCACTTAATGCCACTGAACTAGACGCTTAAAAATAATTAGAGTGGTAAATTTTATGTTAAGTATATTTTGCCACAAATATGAAAGAAATGAGACAATTCTGGAGGTCCTCAAAAAATGTTAGCTGCAGGCTTCCAGTCAAGATTGTGGCATAGGTAAACGCTGTACTTGCCTGCTTCCATGACCACATCAAAATTACAACTTCACTACAGAGCAACTATCATTAAAAACTGCCTCAAGTCTAGCTGAACAGAATTCCTATAACTAAGGATATACAGAAGCAGCCACACGGAGACTGCTAGGAGGGGCAGAGGACTCAGAATAGGCTTGTCCCACACCCACGTGTGGTGGTTTAAAATTGAGAGAAAACCTTGGCTGCAGAGGTCCCCTTTGAGGAATGAGGAGACCCAGCCCCACACCAGGCTCCCCAGCCCAGGGTTCCAGTGCTGGGAAAAGAAGTCCCCATGACTTCTGGCTGTGAAAACCAGCCGGGATTAGAGCTGAGGGAGATGTAATGCACCTGGAGTCCCTGGCAGTTCCTGGAGTCTTGTGGCCCATACATGGACTTACTCTGACTCACCTGCTCTGAGCTCCAACACTAGGGCAGTAGCTCAAAAAGCTCCAGGGACATACAGGGGGAAACTGAATTGTCTGTCTTTGGGGTAAGGGCTGGAAGGGTAGCTTTCTCCCAGAAAGAAGTGCTGGCAGAGGCCATCATTCCTTTTCTGAGCCCTCCCCAACAGATGGGCGCCATATCTGAGTTAACCTGGCTCTGTTTGCACCACTCAGGTGATTCCCAGAGACGATGCCCTACCTAACTTGCCAGCCCACCACTGCCTCTTCCAGTGGCTTTTGTATACAAACAGCCTGTCTTGGCTCATGCCGTAGACTTTTCTAAAATCTCTCCAAGGGCCAGTAACCCCAAACCACCAAGATCTGGCCTCATTGAGCCCCATGTCTCTTGCTAAACAGCCCTAAGCCCAGCACTAGCAGCAGCCAGACTCAGTCCATAGCTTTGCCTCTCCCAGGCATCTCCAAACACAGCGTAAGTAGCAGCCATCTGAGATCACTTTGTAGCTCATGCTGGGTGGCCCCAGGCAGGGCAAAGATGATGGGTGACCTTGGCATTCACCTCCCAGGAGGCCTCAGAGCCAGCATACCTGGTGAAGAGCTAAGAAAGCCTGGAGCACTTCCATAAGTGACATACTCAAGGGACAGACTCGATGGGCACCAGAGCCCTGTTAAAGTGCTTTCTGTTCCATGGGGTTGGTCTCTGCACAGCAGGTCCTCTGCTATAGGGCTGCCAGTCCTTGCATGCCAACTGGCTTGGTCAATCCCTCCAATTGATGTGCCGACACCAATCAAGACTGAATCACAATACAAGGGCACACAACCCACATAAAGTGCCTGGCTGAGGTGACTAGGACTGCTGTCTGTGCCAGTGGGCCCTATAGGACACCTACTACATAAAGTCACCCTACCAAGAGCGGGAGACATAGAAGATCTACCTCAGACAGAGAGGCAGCCAAAATGGGGAAACAAAGAAACATATCCTGAATGAAAAAGTAGAAGAAATCTCCAGAAAAAACTAAAAGAAATGGAGGCAAACAAACTACCAGATAGAGTTCAAAACAATCCTTATAAGAATGCTCAAGAACTTAGTGAGAACTTCAACAGCATATAAAGGACTAAGAACCAGTCAGAAGTGAAAAATACAATAACTAAAATGAAGAATACACTAGAAGGAATCAACAACAAATTAGATGAAGCAGAGGAGTGAATCAGTGATTTAGAAGACAAGGTAGCAGAAAACACCCAATCGGAGTAGCAAAAAGAAAAAAGAATTTTAAAAAATGAGGACAGTTTAAGGGACCTCTGGGACAACATCAAGCATAACAACATCTGTACCATGGAGGTACCAGAAGAAGAGAGAGAGCAAGTGATAAAAGAACCTAGAAGAAATAACGACTGAATACTTCCCTAACCTGGTGAAGGAAAAAGACACCAAGTCCAGGAAGCACACAGAGTCCCATACAAGTTAAGCCCAAAGAGGCCCACACCAAGACACATCATAATTAAAATGCCAAAGGTTAAAGACAAGGAGAGATTCTTAAAAGCAGCAAGGGAAAAGCAGTTAGTTACCTACAAGGGAACTCTCATAAGACTGTCCACTGATTTCTCAACAGAAACTTTGCAGCCAGAAGGGATTGGCAAGAAAGGACCTACAACAAATATTACCTACCCAGCAAAGCTGTAATTTAGAATTGAAAGGCAGATAAAGAGCTTCCTAAAGAAGAAAAGGCTGAAGGAATTCATTACCACCAAATTTGTATTACAAGAAATGTTAGAGTCCTCTTTAAGAAGAAAAAAAAAAAAGACAAAAATATGAAAAAATGGCAATAAATACAATTCTATAAACATTTACTTTGAATGCTCTAATCAAAAGACACATAGTCGCTGAATGGATAAGAAAACACGACACTTATGTATACTGTCTACAAAAGACTTCTGATCGAAAGACACACACACACTGGAAACTAAAGAGCTAGAAAAAGGTACTTCTTGAAAATGGAAACAAAAAAATCAACAACAAATAAAAGCTAGAGTAGCAATACTTATATCAGACAAGACAGACTTTAAAACAAAGAATAGGCTGGGCTGGTGTGGCTCAGTGGGTTGGGCGTTGTCCTACAAACTGAAAGGTCACAGGTTTGATTACAGCTCAGAGCACACGCCTGGGTTGTGGAGCAGGACCCCATTGGGGGCATGCGAAAAGCAACCAATGATGTTATCTTATACATTGATGTTTCTCTCCCTCCCTTTCTCGCTTCCTTCCCCTCTCTCTTAAAAAAAAAATAATTAAAAAAAATTATTATTTTTTTAAAAAAAGCTCTGACTGGTGTAGCTCTGTGGGTTGTGTTGTCCCATAAACCAAAAGGTCACTGGCTCAATTCCTGGTCAGGGCACATACGTGGGTTGTGGGCCAAGCTCCCCAGTTGAGGGCAGGCAAGAGGCAATGATCAATGTTTCTCTTGCACATCAATGTTTCTCTTGCACGTTGATGTTTCTCTCACACATCAATGCTTCTCTCCCTCTCTTTCCCCCTCCCTTCCCCTCTCTCTAAAAATACATAAATAAAATCTTTTTTTAAAAAAACTAAAACAAGAAAAGGACCCAGAAATTCTACTTCTGGATATTTTTCTGAAGAAACCCAAAAAACTGAATTGAAAAGACATGTGCATCTATATGTTTATTGCAGCATTATTTACAATAGCCAAGATGGGGAAGCAACCCGTGTCCATCAATAGATGAATGGATAAAGAAGAAGTAATGTTTATACAATGGGATATGACTCAGCCATAATAAAGAATAAAATCTTGCCACCTGCAACAACATGGATGGACCTAGAGAGAACTGTGCTTAGTGAAATAGGTCTGACAGAGAAAGAGAGGCGCTGTATGATTTCACTTATATGTGGTATCTAAAGAATATAATAAACAAACAAGCAGAACAGAAATAGACTCATAGATGAGAGAACAGTTTGATGGTTGCCAGATGGGAGGGGATGGGGGATGGGTAAAAAAAGAAGGGATTAAGAAGTACAGATTGTTACAGAACAGTCATGGGATGTAAAGTACAGCATAGGAAATATAGTCAATAATATTGTAGTAACTGGATGGTGTCAGGTGGGTACTAGTTTTAGTGGGGTGACCACTCCATAAATTATATAAATGTCTAATCACTAGGTTGCACACATGGAGCAAATACGATATTGTAAGTCAATTGTAATTGAAAAATAAAAAATTATTTCTTTAGAAAGTGTACTATAGTGGATACTGTGGAACACTGCTCAGATACTACCTTCAGGACCAAGACACCTATCCCTCAGTTGCCGAGTCCTTCTCCAGGAAATGCCTTTGGCCGATGGGGTGTGCCTCCCCTGAATTTACACTCCCTCCCTGGTGGCAGCCTACATTAAATGACTGATCATTGTGGAGGTACAAAAGTGTGGTTCCTTTTCCCCTGTAAGGTGGCTAAAGCCTCTGTTACCACTGAATCACAGTTCAGGTTCTTCCCCTGCTCAAGCCTGCTCACAGATGTTATTCTTGAGAGCCTCCCTACTAATCATCCTGCAAGCAAATCTCCCATCTCCAGAGTCTTTTTCCTGGGAACTAACACCTAAGAGAATTACCACAGAGAAAATTATCTTGTTTAGTGTAATTTAGAAATATAACTTCCACATTTCCCTTCTCCTAATTGTTACCTGATTCTTAGTCGGTCATTTTCTGAGTAGAGGCGCAAAACATGCTCCCGTTCCTGGAAGAGGCAGACTTGCATATCACTTAGAGCTTTCTGCAATTCAGCAATCTCCTCCTCCCTCTGCTGCAAATCCCATTCTAGTTTGTGCTGGGGGAAAAAAAAGAGTCACTGAAAAGAGACTGAGCTTCACAGGAATATCTCTTACTGTTTATGGAAGAGACAGGGCATGTAGAAATATTACAGTGTGAATGGTTTCACCAATACAGACTCCAAATGACAACAATAAGTTGTTTATAGAATTGAGTTTAAAAGCTACAGGGTGAGTATGTTTCCATATAAGTCAAAGCTCTCTTATCTTTTACAGATTACAGAACCCAGAATGTTTCACCTGTTCTTTACATAATTTTTAAAAAATGCTTTCTATTCAATAAGCATTAAGAAATTTTGAAAGATAAAGATGAAAAGCATGTTTTCTGCCTAGAGCTAAGGAATTCTGTGAAGAGACAGACATGCAAACAATTAAATAATTACTTAACAGAGGAACATGCCTGGTAAAATGGTAGAAAGGAAAATACAACCAGAGTGAAATCTCTGAATCTTTTTGGGAAGTCAGAGACCAGCATCAAACAGTTGAAACTTGAGTCCTGACCAGTGTAGGTTGCCAGTGCAATTTTCAGTCTAGGCACAGACCTGGGTTTGGGTCTGGTTCCTGACTGGGGGCATGCGAGAGGCAAATGATCAACATTTCTCTCCCTCTTTTTCTCCCAATCTTTCCTTCTCTCTAAAATAAACAAAATCTTAAAAATAAAAGTTGAAACTTGAAAGATGAAGACTGCTAGAGACAAAATGAGGGTGAGTACTCTCAGGAAAGAGAACAGTAAACACAGAACCATCGAAGATATGAATGGACAACTACAAGGATTTCAGTATTATTGGAGTGCGAAGTGAGAGGCAGACTGAAGAGGTGTGAGACTGGAAGCTGGATACTGGTTAAGAAGGATATTGCAACAATGCAGGTGATGCATTGCAACAATGCAAACTAGAGTTTGAGCTAGTGCTGAGGCAATATGATGAAGATGTCAGAATGGATTAAGGGATATTTAGGAAGCAGAATCAACAGAACTTACTATATGACTGAATGTAGGGGCTGGGCAGAATTGTAGGTGAATACACCGGTTAGTAACACACAGCATAAAGAAAATAGTTAAGAGATAAGAAATTGAGGGAGGACCCTGGCCAGCGTGGCTCAGTTGGCTGGGTGTTGTCCTGCAAGCTGAAAGGTCGCCAGTTCGATTCCCAGTCAAGGCATATGCCTTGGTTGCAGACTGTGGGCTCTGCCCCTAGCGGGGCGCTTGCAGAAGGCAGAGGCAACCATTTGATGTTTCTCTCTCATATCAATGTTTCTCTCCCTTTCTTTCTCCCTCCCTTCTCCTCTCTCTAAAATAAATAAATAAATGAATAAATAAATAAATAAATAAATAAAATGGAGAAAATGAGGAAAATGGTAGGGATAGATGCGTATGTGTGTGTACAGTTGAAAAAGGAAGATTAGTTCAGATATAAACATAAGAACATGGAGCTCAAGAGAAAAGAGGCTGCATTAGCTATTTTGGACGTTATCATTCCATATGTAGTAGTATGGATAAAAATAAGATCATTTGTAATGGAATCTGTAGGAACATTGACATTTAAGATTAAGGAAGGGGAACTGTTAATGGACACTGAGAGGTAGACAAAAACTGGGAAAAAAAAGTGACATAGAAATTAAGAAAGGAAGAGAGTTTCCAGAAAGCAGAGGTCAATAGCGACAGACACTGCAAAGGTCACAAAGAGAGAGATCATTTTGACAAATGGGAATCAGAGGCCACAGAGTAGTTTTAGTGAAACAGAAAGAAGACAGACTAACTGCAGTCACCGAGTTTTGAACGGGTGATAATAAACTATTCTAGAAGCAGGGCTAGGAAAAGAACGAGCTATCTACGTAAGAGAGTAGTTAGAGGGGGGAAGCACAACTCAAGAACAGTGCTTTATTTTGTTTTTTAAGTCAGGAAAGACTTGACTGCTATGAAAGGAAGATTTGCTATGTACGTGGAGTAAAAGAATAAGCAAGGAGTCATGTGCAGGCAGTACTGAGGAGAAAATGCCCATGTTAAGCAAGAGATTAAAAATAGAACACAAAGAGAAAAGCAATGATGATGGGTTTCTTAGGAGGAAAAACGGATGGGGCCAGGGAGAGAGCTGATCAATTCAGCTTGAAAAGGGAGAGACATCTTGTCCCTGAAGTGATAAGAAAGAAGAGAGACAGACACAGGTATAGGTGACAGTGTGGATGGGCAGGAAGGAGTTATGCATGGTAGCTGCCATTTCCCCTGTGAACCAGGAAGCAAGACACCTGACAAGAGACAGCTAAGATAGGGTGGCAGGCTGGAGGGGAGTAGGGAAGGTCCAACACAGAAAGGGAGGGAAAGGAACTGACTAGAGGCAGGTAAGTTAATTGCTGTGTAGTAACGGAGGATACAGAAGAATTTATTTACCATGAATTTATTCTGTAATGATTTGTGACCTGGGGGCAATTCTGCATGTACCCCAAGGAGAAATTTGGCAATGTCTGAAGGTACTTTTGATGGTCACAACTGAGGGTGGCGCGAGGGGATGTATGTGTGCTACTGGTATCTAGGACGTAGAGGCCAAGGGTGTTGCTAAACATCCTACAATTCATAGGTTAGTCCCCACAATAAGGAATTACAAAGCCCAAGATGTCAATAGTGCCAAGGCTGAGAAATCCTGCTCCAGAATAGGATTCAATTATAGCTAGGGTTTTTGCTATAGAGCAAAGGAATGAGCAAGGAGTCGTGTGCAGGCAGTACAGTTAGCATCAAAGTGAAGTGTGATGGGATTCCAGTTAGAAGGGAAGGACATAATGTCAGAAACTGACATGCAACATTTGGAAAACTGAAAACTCAAGGAGCTATGGAGGTAATAATGAAGTCAGGTATATGGAGGTGAAAGAACTAAAAGTATAAGAGAGACTGAGACATAAGAGTTTAAGATTTTAGAGGTGGAGCAAATTGGGGGAATTTTGATTTAATGAGGGACCCAAAGGACAGGTAGCTAGGCTGGGGTAGAAAGGAATAAAAAAATAGCTGTTTGTGCCCTGGCTGGTGTGGCTCAGGGGATTGAACGTTGGCCTGCAAACCAAAGGGTCACCGGTTCAACTCCCAGGCAAAGCACATGGCTGGGTTTGCTGGCCAGGCCCCCAGCTGGGGGCATGTGAGAGGCATGGATAGATATATCTTTCACACATTGCTATTTCTCTCCCTTTCTTTCTCCCTCCCCTCCCCTATCTCTAAAAGTAAGTAAATACAATCTTTAAAAAAATAAATAAAATCTAAAAAAATAAATCTGCTTGTGATACAAGCTGGCACTTGTAGATCTTCTCTAGTCATGAGCAGACTTAATCAAAGTCCTAGGGGGGCATGCATCATCTCTTTTGTTACCTGTCCTTCACAAGCTTCTTTGTATAGCTCCAGTTTCTTCAACAGGTCCTCATTTTCTGCTTCACACTCTGCCATCTTCTTTTGATAATATTCTAGAAGCTCCTGAGAAGGGCAGAGAACAGCCAGACGATCTTCAATGGAAGGCAAAGGAGTTGACTCCACTGAATCTGAAAACAGCACTCCCTTCCACCTGGCAGAACCACTGAGGCCATGCGCAGAACCATGTTTGGAAATAGTTGTCAGCCTATGTGAAATGAGGAAGGACATATTCATTAAATTGTCTAAGCATCTATGAAACATAATTTCTTAAATAAAAAAGAGGCTTATGTTCTTTTTTTTAAAATCCTCACTCAAGGACATATTTATTGATCTTAGGGGGTGGGGGATAGAGAGAAAACACCAATGGTTGCCTCCTATACATGCCCCTACTGGAGACTGAACCTACAACTTAGGTATGTGCTCTGAACAAGGATCGAACCTGCAACCTCCTGGTGTATGGGATGATGCTCTAGCCAACTGAGACCCCCGGCCAGGGTGAGGTTTATATTCTTAAAGAGAGTATAATTAATGAACTTTTAAAATTAATTTTTAAAAAATTAAATATAAAATAAGGCCAGATAGTAACAGAAAATTTAATACCATAAGACATACACCAACAGGAACAATTATACTGCTGGTGAAGTATAACTTGGTAAAACCACAGAAAATAAATTGGCAGAATCTAGAAAAATTCCAATTCCTAGAGAATTGTTCTAGAGAAACTCATACACATATGCATAAGGTGACACATAAGAAAATGTTCATAGTAACATTACACAAGAGTCAGCATTAGAAAATATAGCCAAATTACTAACCACATAACCACAACAGATCCTAATCTCTAGCACTGGAGATACCTGAATTATTCAGACCAAGACTAAACAAGATTTAAGGGTAATCAAAGGCTGGACAAGAAGTGTTTTTAAGCTAAAACAATGGAAGTTAGAAAATAAATGATGCAGAATTGGAAAATTAATCTATTTTGGCTAACTTTGGCTATCTTGTAAATTGTAACTTGCAATTTACAAGGTAACAAAATAGACATCAGAGAAGAGAAACTTGATACCAGAACCCCAGAGTTGTAGTTAATGAAGGTTATGGTCAGCACTTTTAATACGTGAGCATGTATAGACGAGATATTAAAATCTACTTTCAGCAAACACAAAGAAAAAAATATATTATTGTTTTAATCATTAAGGCTTGTAACAGAAATGCTATTTTATTCAATGTTTCATGTTTTCCAAGGGGGTTGCCTTATAACAACTGTGGGGAATAGGTTAGTAAATGAACTAAGAGGTATTTCTGAGATTTTGCAGATGAGCATGGTGGCAACGAGGATGAGGCAGCAAGGTGATGGCAGAGCCCAAATTCCAAGTTCCCTGTGTAGGTTAGTTATTTCCTCTGTAATCCAGGATGCACTGACACTGTACTAGGCCCACTCGAACTGTCTGGATTCTGGTATCACCATTTAATAGGTCCTAGTTTTTCATCTAAATTCCACATAATAAGAACAGAGAAATGAGTCTAGTACAGTTCAAATCCAGAGTTCAGAAGTATGCTCCAAAACTCTTCCAGTTCCTAAGCTAACTTGTACTAAGGCTACAGAAGTCTTGATTCTTTTTTTTTTTAATTCAATTTTTTGGGTGACATTGGTTAATAGAAGTCTTGACTCTTTTAACAACTCAAAAAACAAGCAAATATCTTACTTTCTGCAGACAGGGGTATGTGTCGGGGTAAAGTTCATAGCTGTCTTCTTCACCTGTCAAACGCACAAAACTTCAGAATGAGAGGGCAGGAACAGAGCAAAACAGTATAACATACAGACTGGTTTTCTTTACAATCTTACATGTGCCTGCTGGTCAAAATGTGATACTTTAAAATATAGTACTATTCATTAAAGTAGTTCTGAATCCTGAGATCCTATTACTTTTGAATTTTCATATGGTATTGTTTGTCATTATTATTTTCAAACAAAATCAGAATTGCATTTAATATTTGGATGAATAAGCATGAAAAGCCTCTTTAGTATGAAGGCTACCTGCAACAGTACAAAAACAATCCTTTTACTGAAATTATAAGAGAGGGAGATGCAGAAAGTTTCTAGTAAACAAGACGTAGTAAATAGAAATTAAGGTAGAGGACCCATTATGCTAAATTTAAGATAAATACAAAGCCATTTATATTATCTTTATTTTTTACCTACTGTTTTATTTTAAAGAAAAAATGTTCCTTATAAACTTTAAAAGGTCTATTCACAACCTTCGATATTTTTTTTTTTTTTTTTAGATAAAGTTTATTTAGAAAGTTACAAAGGTAGTAGAAGTGAGCATAGGCTGGGAAAACAAGCTACAGAAGCAAAAGAAGGGCACTTGAAAGTTAGGCCTGAAGAAGGCAAACCTAAGTCACCTGAGGAAAAAAGAGGGGAATGGGAAAGGTGCTGTGTGCTGATAAGACAGATCTTGGAGAAGGGGAAGAGAAGGAGAGGGAAGTGGGGAAGGGGAGAGAGGAGAAGGGGATAGAGTGTTTTAAATTAGCTTTCCGCAAAGCTTTCTTATCATGCATGCTTTGTCAATACAGTCTGATTTTGAGCCAGTCAAGAGATGATGTAATGTCCTGTTCTTGTGTTCTACCTAGAATATATCTGTTTACAATCTTCAGCCCTTGGGAAAGATTTTTTGAGAAAGAGAAGAGATAATCACTATTGTTCATTCTGTAACCATTTTCCTGCTCGGAATTCCAGAGTGCCTCTCCCCTAGTCCTTGAAACCTTTTTTCATGTGGCCTCCAGGACACCACATACTCCTGGTTCTCCTCCTTCCTCATTGGTGATTAATTTTTTGTTACTGCTACTTCTTCCTTGTCTTTATCTATACTTATTGCTTCAGTGACTTCAGGGAGTCTCATGGTTTTCAAGTGTACACCTCCAGTCCTTCCCCTGCACTCCACTCCAGACTCACAATACTCTGTACCTCCACTTAGACGCCCTACAGGTATCACAAGCTTAAGAAGACCAAAACTGAGCTCCTGATATATACCTCCTACCACCAAACCTGACCTCCTCTCAGAACTCTACACTCCAGTAATTACTAATGCCATTCTCAGTTGTTTAGGACAACAAATTTGGAGAAATTTCACTCCTCTCTTTGTCTTACATGCTATACTCAATCCATTAGTAAGTCCTACAGGCTCTACCACCAAAAAATTTAAAATCTGACAAAGAATCATGTCAATAATGCTCTCGTTGAACTCACTATAATCTCTTGCCTGGATGACTACAAATGGTCTCTCTGTTTCCACTCTCAACTCCATCCCCTGAAGTCTCTTCTCAACATAGCAGTTAAAGTGATTATTTAAAGTATGTCAAAACAGCCCTGGCTGGTGTGGCTCAGTGGATTGAGCGCTGGCCTGCAAACTGAAGGGTCACTGGTTCAATCCCTAGTCAGGGAACATGGCTGGGTCACCAGGGTCGGGGGGTTGCTTGAGAGGCAACCACACAGTGATTGTTTCTCTCCCTTTCTTTCTCCCTCCCTTCCCTAAAAAATAAATAAATAAAATCTTTTTTTTTTTTTTTTTTTTAAAGGATGTCAAAACACACTAGAATGGGGAAACTCACTAAGGGCAGGCATTTTTTATCTACTGTGTTCACTGCTATACCTGCAGTAACTAAAATAGTGCCTGGTTCACAGGAGGTGCTCAATTTCTTTCTAAGTAAATAAATAATTTTAAATCCTCAATCTGAATTTGACTCTATTCAACATCTTTTTCTTCTAATATTCAACCTAGCTAGAAAATCTGTTTTTGCTTTTGTTGTTCCATCTGCCTTCTTCTACCAACCAACCCTTCAAATATGCCATCTCTCTTTATTCTCTTGTTTAAAAGACTACTTTCCTTCTTCAAACTCACCTCCTTCTACAGAACTTCTCCAAATTAGGCCAATTTGCTTCTTTGAGAAAATAACCTAGAAAATAAAAATGGTAATTAAGTTGGTATGGTAGGATTATGGGTGACTTTTTTACCTTCACCTGAGGACATACTTAGTGATTTTAGAGAGGGAGGAAGAGAGGGAGAACGAAAGAGAGAGAAACATTGATTGGTTGTCTTTTGTATGCGCCCTGGTAGGGGATACCAAACCCATAACATATGCATGTGCCCTGACCAGGAATCGTACCTGTGACCTTTCAGTTTGCAGGACGACACTCAACCAACTGAGCCACACTAGTGGTCAGAGACGAGTGACATTTTTATAAACAGCTTTATTGAGATATAATTAACATTCTATACAATTCAGTCAATTAAAGTGTATGATTCAATGATTAGTATATTTACAGACAGGTCCAACCATCATCACATTCAATAGTATGTTTTCGTCACTTCAAGATCAAATCCTATATGTTTTAGCTATCACCCCTGTGTTCCACCCTTCCCCTGCCCTAAACTATCACTAATCTACTGTCTGTTTCTATAGGCCTTCCTGTTATGGGTTCTCATATGAATGTAATCATACAACATATGGTCTTTTGTGACTGGCTTCTTGCACTTAGCACAATGTTTTCAAGGTTCATCCATGCTGTAGCATGTGTCAGCCCTTCATTCCTTTTCATGGCCAAATAACATTCCATTTTGTGAATATGGGAAACATCTTAAATATAAATATCATGGTTCTAAAACTACTTAAGAGTAAATTGGAACTTTTTCTTAATCCTCAACCAAGAATACATCCACTAATTTTTTTTTTTTGAGAGAGAAGAAAGGGGAGGGAGGGAGGGAGGGTGGGGGAGAGAGAGAGGAACATCGACTGGTTGCCCCCCTCCCATACACACCCCTACTGGGGACTGAACCCACAACCCAATTATGTGCCCTAACCAGGAATTGAACCCATGACCTTTTGGGGTACAGGACAATGCTATAACCAACTGAGCAATACCATGCAGGGTAAGAGTAACTTGGAACTCTAAAGGTCTTCTAGCAACGCGAAATCTCTCTTCTCCCTCATAAGCAGTCTTACTCCTTCTTCTCCTAGACTATTGCACATCTACAAAAAATTATCTACACTCACTTTTATTTTGTTTTATAATCTCTAACAATCTGACTTCTACTCCAACATCTGAACTAAAGTTGCTGTTCTTAGTCAGCAGACATACAAATTAATAAATTCAGTAGCTTTTTTGGGTTCCCAACTTCTACCCAGCAAGTCATTCCTTGATTTGTAACCTATCAGTGTTGACCACTCTTTTAAAAAAAATACTGCTTTGTAGTTGAGAGCATGGGCTCTGAAATCAAACAGACTTGAGTTTGAGTCAAAGCTCTCTCCCTTATATAGCTGTGTGACTTCAGATAAGTTATTTAACCTCTCTAAACTTCAGTTACTTCTTAGAAAATGGGGAGAATAGCATATATAGTATAGGTCAGTGTAAGGATTAAATGAAATAATAAAAGGGTCTGACACATAGGCACTCAGTAACTACAGATTACTATTTTTACTGAAAATGTTCCTCCCCCTTGGTTCAAAGGTTGTCCTTGACTTTCTTTAGTACTTCCGCTATCAATTTCTTTTGAAACATCATTTTCACTGCTTTTATAATTACCTCTATCATTAAAACATTACCTGGCACAGAATAATAACTACTGGTTGAATGAACAAGTAGATTTTCAATCTCCTGATCTGAATGTCCAACTATGTAATGGACATTTTCACCTATTGTCCCATTGGAGTTTGAAATGTTTAACAACAACAAAAATCACTTAATTCACATATATTTCTTTTTAGCACCTCAAAACTAATACTTCCTAAACCTAATACATCATCTTTTTTTATCTGAACATGCTCCTTCTGACTTTCCTATTTTAGGCACTATTTCAGCATCTTCCAACCTGGACTTGAAAATTTTAATTCATTATTTCATTACTTTTTTTTTAAAGATTTTATTTATTTTTAGAGAGAGGGGAAGGAAGGGAGAAAAAGGGGAAGAAAAACATCGATATGCAGGAGCTACATCGATCGATTGGTTGCCTCTCGCATGCCCCCAACAGGGTACCTGGCCTACAACCCAGGCATGTGCCCTGACTGGGAATCAAACCAGTGACCTTTTGGTTTGCAGGCTGGCACCCAAACCACTGAGCCACACCAGCCAGGGCTCATTACTATTTCTATTGACCCTCTCATCAAACCATATAAAAATTATCTGTATTCTATCCTTAATAATAACCATGCTGATTCAGGATCTCCCTATGCTCGTACCCACTCTACTACAATGGCTTAACTGTTCTATCCACCCCTGATTGCCTCTGGATCATCTTAAAAATCATCAAAGTCATCAGTAACTCCTCATAGCCAAATGCATTAAATCAAACTCTGCCTAGAGGTCACTGCTTTCCATCTAAGGACCAAACCTAACTCTCCTACCTCATTTCCCTGTATTCCCCTAATCATACCCTCAGTTTGCCGATAACATTCTTGCCTCCATGCCTTTGTTCCTACGACTGGAACACAGCTCCCTCCACTCTCACAAGTTCACTTAGTGAAATCCAGTCTGTACATAAAAACTCAAATACTCCCTCTTTCATCTCTTTCCTGAGTCTCTCCATCCAAAGTCATCTGTCAAAACGCTCTAAAAACAAAACAAAAAACTGCACTTGTTTCGTACAAGTGAAAAAGAACTGCACCTGTATATTAGAGTTCTTCGTTGCTATCATTTCTCCCATGGTAGTTCATGTTCCTTGCAGGGAGAAACTGTGCCTTATTCATTACTGTATGTCTTAAAAGAACAATGTCCTCGCTTATAGTTACATTAATGGGTTTCAACTACCTTCTCTATTCCTCCTTCGTCGCGATATCCTTGTTTAGGGTTGTTGTTTTTTTTAAATAGCTTGTCTACTTACAATTAACACTTGTTTAGCACTTTAACATTTACTTTACGCCCACAACAACTCTGTGAAGTATTTCTTATTCTCCCTTAAGTAAGATTGAGGCTTAGACTAGCGCGGGATGGGGGATACCAGACCCCATCTCCAGGACCTTCTAATTCTGTACTCCTTCTTAAATTTCATCTCGTTTTCGACTCCCTCATCGCTACAGCTCCCCAATGCTTCAGCACCCCTATATCTTTCCCTTTTCATATTCTAACTTTCCTCGTCCGGTCCCCTGCACTCCTGACGGCTCCACCCCCCGCCTCCAAATTTCAGGCTCACAGCCCTCTCTTCCGACTGCTTCCACAGGTACTCCTCTCTCACCAGAGTTTCCCTTCCCAAGACCTCTTGCCCCTTCCCGGAAACCCGAAATTCTATACTCACGGCACACTAATACCACCGGGTCACAGTTGCCAACGGAAAACAAAACTTAAATCAGGGAGCGTCGCGGCGCCACAGAGCGTGCACGAATCCGTCCAATCGCCCACAAGTTTACCTCGGCCCTTTGGATTGCGCACCAATAGGAAGGATATTCACAGAGAGGAACGCCCCGTTCCCGCTCCCCCTCGCTCGCGTCTAAGCGCGCGGAGGTCGCCGGGGAATGTAGTTTTATTTCTGCGCACAGCTCTCTGGGCGGAAAATGCAACTAGACTACAACCCAGTTCTCCCAGAATGGTACTTGGGGCGAGAACAAACTAGTTCTGGGCGCAGTTTATGCTTGCTCAACTGCTTTGTTTTCATAAAAAAATGATGCAGAAACGCAATGCATAATCATGGAAAGGATCACAGGATTATTATGTGTTGTAATATACAATATCTCAAGAAGGTGAAGATAAGTTTCTCCTTCAATGCCTGGGTGTTCTAAGCCAAGAAAGGGTCGGTGGTTCAATTTGTACAGTCAGTGGATTGTGTATGTAAATGCTGCTACTTTTGCTGACTCGACTCTATTTTCCTGAGAGGTGTGAGAAATTGACTTCAATAATATAAGCTAGTTCAAAACCCAATTGTTGTGTTTCCTTTCCAGAAGAGCAAGGTCTCGAAGCTGCAGCTACTGCTGTGGAAAAGCTTGGACTCTTCACCAGCATAAAACCTAAGGATGTCCAAAAGAAACTTGCCATCTTTTCCTAAACCTGGTTTTTTTCCCTTTTGTGATTTTTTCTCCTGTTAGTTACATCAAGATCTCCCCAGGCATCTTTGTTCAGTATTTTTCTCTCTCTTTTGGCCCCTACATTAAAAAAATAAAAAAAATTAAAATTAAAAAAACACAGATCATGATGATCTTATCTTCATACCAGTTCTCAAATATATACCTTCCTATCTATTTCTGCTCCGGGTCTCATTACCGTTCACTTGAACTACTACAAGAAAAAAAGTTTTTCTCCTTAAACTTTGTTTCAGTGAGTCTCAAAATCCTGTGACAGATTTTTGGTCAAGTTATTTCCATTAAAAATTACTGATTTTAGAAACTAATAACTTAAAAACTGCCACACATATTAAAAAAACAAATGGTCCGCAAAACATTTTGTTTTCCTTCTGAAGGCGTTAGGATGCACTGTAATTGTTAACCCATTTTTTACTGGTAAACTTAAATGTCCAATTGAGACAAACAGTTCTGTGACTTTTCTTCCACCACTGATTAACACTAGGGTGACAGTTATCAGGGAAAACATTCATTTAGCTTCCTGAGCTTTCTGGGCAGAATTGTTAACTTTACCAGTTCCCGTTGCCGTCTTTTCCACTGCTTTGATGACACCCATAGCAACTGTCCGTCTCATTTCACGAACAGCAATATGGCCTAGAGGAGGACAGAGAAGTTCTCAACACATGTGTGCTTGCCAGAAACCAGATCAATGATGGCAGCATTACCAGATTTCAAAAACTTTGGGCCACTATCTGGATTCTGACCTAGTTTGCAGTGACATGGCTGAATGCACTAAGAAGACTGGAATCACCGGTAAATATGGGACAAGCTATGGTGCTGCCCTAAAGACAATAGTGAAGAAAATTGAAATCTGCTAGCACTCTGAGTACACTTGCTCTTTCTGTGGGAAAACCAAGATGAAGAGACAAGCTGTGGGGATCTGACACTGTGGTTCCTGCATGAAAAACTGTAGCCGGTGTGGCCTGGACCTATAATTTCTTTTCTTTTGTCACAGTAAAGCCTATCATTTAGAAGACTGAAGGAATTGTAAGACTAGTAGAAGCTCCACAATTTGAAACATTTCTAGCCTATAACAAATGGGCTAATTTATATAACAAAAAATAAAAATAAAAATAAAAATAAACTTTGGGCCATCTTCCAGCTTTTTCCCAGGACAATGATCAATCTTCTCCTTCAGATCAGCAAATTTGCAAGCCCTATAGGCTGTGTGACAATCCAATGGGTGCATATCTGGCACTGATTTGGTCTAGATTATTCAGGATAATTCCATAAGCTGTGAAGCCAGCTGTTTCCATTGGTGAGTCATTTTGCTGTCACTAGGCATATTGGCATGACAAACGTGTTTGACAAATGCATTCTTGACATTGAAACCCACATTATGCCTACAAGAGCTTCACTCACAGCTTCGTGGTACATTTCAACAGACTTTACTTCAGTTGTAACATTGCCTGGAGCAAAGATGACCACCATTGGTCACCAGTCACTACTCGGCCCACAGGGACAGTATCAATACCACTAATTTTGTAGATATCTTGGAGGGGCAGAGGGGCTTGTCAGTTGGATGAGTTGGTGGCACTGCAACTCTGGGATGAGAGACCTGATATGGGGCTGGGACTTGCCCCATTGGGACTTGCTCCCAAGATATACCACCTGAATTTTTATCCACTACACGTGGATGTGGGACCAGCCTGTTCCATATCTCCGTCCCTTCTACCAGACTGGATGGATGTGGTTTCTTTAATTCTGTAGCTGACAGGCTTCAACTCAATTTCTGATGTTTCTGAGTGATGGTTGTTCTCTACTTTAGCTGTAATTTTGATGTGGTTGTGTGAGGAGGTGAGCTGTGTTTGCCCAAGCCACCATCTTTACCAGAAGTCTACAATAAGTTTCTAATTAGTGTTTCTGCCTTCTCCAAACCATTCTATAAAAGATGATTTTTTAAAATAAATAAACAAACAAAAATTATTTTTGTGGGGTCATGTTGGACATCACTCTCCCACCAGACGCTGGTCCTGTGATGGAAGACTGGCCAGAAGGAATGTGTATTTTCCTGAGGGACAATGTGTGGCTCCCTCCCTATCTCCTCAGGGGATTGGTTTCTTGCTTGACTGCTTCTTGACCTTTTCTTTTTGAATATAAGCATTGATGTATTATAACATATCTTAAGGCCACATGAAAGCTTGGATAATTTGGACCCATGCTGCCTTTGTCTGGGACCCCTTAAAATGGGTGTTGAATGGAGGTGGTGGGGGTAATGCGGTCCTGCTTAGCCAACTTGCCACCATCGGTGCTTCCTGTAATGTAAGTGATAAAGACTATATCTGTTCTACCAGGTCCTTCTTGTGGTTTTTTCAGCTAATCCAAATGAGAGATTGAGATCACCAGACTTGACCTCCTATGTTAAAATTTTTTAAAAGCAAGCTTCTGGACCTGTCACACTCCTGTTCATAAACTTTTGGTGATTCCCCATGAAGCAGAGAATGAAGTCCAGGTAGTAATGTGTCACTCAAACACTGCCACAGATTTCACTTTTTTCTATTGTTATAGATAACTGGCTATATTCTGAATGTCGGTTGCATGCACTTTCCCGCTTTGTCTCATACACTTCTTTTATCTGGATTGACCCTTTCCATGAATCAGCACCCATAAAATTTCTACCAAGGCCAATATAAATACTGTCTCCTTGATTGGAAGTAATACCTTTTACTTTGATATTCTTGTGCCAATTAGTCATTGTATTTTTATAGCACAGCTTCTATTCAAATGTCATCAATCTTGGGTCCCTCTCTGACTACCCTATACTCCCTTAATACCCTCTACTCCTACCATTCCCTCCCTTAATTACTTTTTAAAATACCTGATCAAAATCTAAAATAATATATATTTATTTGCTTGTGCTTATTACTGTATCTCCCTGACTCACCACCGCTCTATGAGGGGAGGTAATTTGTCTTTTTGTTGTTGTCATATATACAGCATCTAGAAGAGTGCCTGGCACACAGCAAATGCTCAATGATTTCATTTTTATTTATTATTTTAGAGAGAGGAAGGGGGGGAAAGAAAGCTATAGAAACATTGATTTGTTGTTCCACTTATTTACACATTCATTGGTTGCTTCCTGTATGTGCCCTGACTGGAGACTGAACCTGCAGTCTAGCCAACTGAGCTACCCAGCCAGGGCTCAATGGTTGGTTTTGAATGCATGTATAACATTTCTACCTACATATGTATTGCCTCTCCTCTTAGATTTCTCTTCTTTTAATGTGTACTTAGGTAATATGCATCATTCACTCAAATGCCAAAAGGACATTCTCAACTCATCTGTCTCTTGCAACCACCTAACATCAGATTGATAATTTTAAAAAATCATTCCAGTGGCAGAGGATGAATTAAGAACAATGCTGGAAGATTTTGGAGGCTACAGTATGAAGGCAAATCAACATGAAGACAAATGTCTAAACAAGAATGTCAACAATGGGAATGTGATAAAGGAAATGGGAGATATTTTAAAATTCCAATTGACTGGACTCGGAATAGGAAAGCTAGCTAGAGTAGCTGACATTAATTAGAATGGGACATACAAGAGAAAGAATATATTTTTAGGCTGTGAGAAGAGCAGCTGGGGAACACTAACTTGGTACATTCTCTTTTTTACTTAACTTAAATTTAAATATTTCATTGTTTATGTATGCTATTGCAGTTGTCCCTAACTTTCCTCCTTTTTCTCCCTCCACAGAGCCCACCCCCCACTCCCACAGTAAATCACCACACCATTGTCCCTGTCTATGGGTCATACATACATGTTCTTTGACTAATCCCTTCACCTTCTTTCAACCAGTTCCCACCTCCCTTCTCCCCTCTTACAGCTGTCAGTCTGTTCCATGTTTCTATGCCTCTGGTTCTATTTTGTTTGTTAGCTTATTTAGTTTATTAGATTCCATGTATAAGTGAGATCATATGGTATTTGTCTTTCACCAACTGGCTTATTTCACTTAGCACAATACTCTCCAGTTCCACCCATGCTGTCACAAAAGGTAAGAATTCTTTCTTTTTAACTGCTGCATAGTATTCCATTGAGTAAATGTACTACTACAGCTTTTTTATCCACTCATCTTCTGTTGGACATTTAGGCTATTTATAAATCTTGGCTATTATAAATAGCACTGCTATGAACATAGGGATATATATATTCCATTGAATTGCTGTTTTGGGTTTCTTAGGATATATTCCCAGAAGTAGAATTTGCTGGGTCAAAAGACAGTCTTATTTTTAA